GTGTGTGTGTGTGTGTGTGTGTGTGTGTGTGTGTGTGTGTGTGTGTGTGTGTTTGTGTGTGGGTTCAGCTTTGGTGACATTTGGAGACAATTTTAAGGCAAAAATCCTTTGGGGACAACTGGTGCATTTGGGGACAAAAGTCGAGTCCCCGTTTGGTTTAAACGCCATTGGTGGTTTGGGGGTTGGGTTTAGGACCAAGGTGTGAATTGAGTTTAGGTTAGTTTTRGGGTCAGGTAAGTACCTGTGAGGTTAGCCTTAGGGTTTGTGGTCAGGGTTAGGCTGTAGAAATGTAATGGAAGTCAATGGAATGTCCCCAGTTAGCTAGCTGTGCAAACTTGCATGTGTGTATGTTTGTGGGCCTATTTGATGTCAGATATCTTAACCACTGGACAGATTATTGTATTTAACTAATYCCTGGATCTACATCGACAACTCATTAGCTTTTGGAGTCAATCAAAATTTTCTGCTTGGCCATTTAAAAAGAAAATGTTTATTGCTGCAAATATTTTCTTAATGTTTTTGTTATTTATTGTTAGGTGTTTAGGTGAGTCATGGATTCGACAYTGACAGTACGTCTAAGCCTTTTCCTCATGCTGTGTGTGGACACACCGAACGTTGGAGGACAAATGTCAGGAGCCAAACAGCCAACACGTGCTTTAGATCCAAAAGCAGGACGTTGCTCCTACACCTTCATTGTTCCACAGCAGAAGCTGACGGGGGCTCTGTGTTTGAACACTCAGTCCTCTCTGAACAACCGCTCTGAGGTGGCGGCGCTGCAGGCCGAGCTCCRACAGCAGCGGGAACAGCTGGAGAAGCTCCAGCACCAGCTGGAGCGGGAAGGGTCTCTGGCCACGGAGGTGAGAGCCCTGCGCAAAGAGAGCAACAGCATGAACGCTCGCATCGCCCAGCTCTATGCCCAGCTGCTGCAGGAAGTCCTCCACAAGAAGGAGCAGGCTCTGGAGCAGCAGAGGGTGGAGAGCCTCCTGCTTAACGCTACAACACAGGTGAGCGAAGAAGCACAGAAAGCCACTGCTTGATCAAACACAAACTCATTTTCACATTTCCCGCGGGACACCTCAGGCGTTACAGGTGTCCAGTAATTACAGAGAGCTGGAGAAAAAGTATGGAGCGCTCACCTCCACGGTGAGCTCCCAGAACCAGTTCATCAGCAAACTGGAGAAGCAGTGCCAGTGCAAGGATTCCAGCTCTCAGGTGGGATATATGCTCTGTCTCACTCAGGTGTTTGTTCAGAGGAGCRAGAATCGTGTGTTTTCCTCTGTTTGGTGTGAACAGGTGATGAGTGATCCTCCAAAAGGCCAGCCTAATGGGCCTCGTAATTACAGCTCCGAAGGCAACAAAATGACCAACGATGTTCAAAGGGATCAAAGTGCTGCCTCACCRCCGCAGGAACAAACAGGAGGAGTTTTCCCGGAGGGTCCGACCAATCCGCCGTTTGTGAGCTTCCTTGTCACAAAATCTCCAGGTACTTCAGTGTCAAACACATTTCATATATCACCTGATGAAACTCCAATCTGTGAATGAATTTGTCATCTTTGTCAGAGTTGTTTAAGTGCCCTGATAAGCCGCAGAAGCTGACAGAGTCAGTGACCTGCTGGTAGAAGTCTTATCTCCTTGGGAAAAACTAAACAGTGTCAAAGCCGGCTGCCCTCGGAAAACTTAATCAGCTTAGTGTTTACAGGCCTTTAAACGAGACTTCTAGCCCAAAGTTGCACATTTTGATTTTTGAAATGATTTCAGTTCATAGAAAACGGGAATCAGCAGAGACTAAGTGACTCAATCACTTCCTAAAATGTTTGATGAAATAKCCCTGCCTTTGTTGAGCTCATGTAAAAGTGCTTTTCACTGCTGCTCATTATCACTTGACATGGGCGGTATTCTGCTATGTATACATTATGTACATTCCTGATTCTAAACAGTTTCTGAACATAAGCTAAAAAAACATTCCTCAGCTCTAACGAGATAAACTGAAGCTAAAGGACAACTTTGAGCTTCTAAATGTCAAGGAAACTTTACATAAACATGTCTTAACACTGTCACCATTGAGTTACTAAGTTTTAAAACCTTATATCCAGCCAAAAAATATTTTTTGATCTAGTTTTGAGACTTATTTACTAAACAAGAACTGAATGTGTAAGAGTATTTGTCTTGTTAGCCTGAAAATTTGACTCTAAGTAAAAAAAAAAATCTGCCAATGTAGTAAGAAAATGTTACATGGTAAGATTCTTGAAATACTTGATTTGACTCAATTTTTTCTTATTTCAAGAATCTTACCAAGTAAGATTTTCTCACTCCATTGGCAGAAATTTTTGACTTAATTTGAGTCAAATTTTCAGGCTAACAAGACAAATAATCTCACACATTCTGAAAACAAGATTATTATTCTTACACAATCAGTTCTTGTTTAGTAAATCAGTCTCAAAACGAGATCAAAAAGACTTTTTGGCTGGATATAAGGTTTAAAAACTTGGTTAGATGGACAGTTTTTTCAGTGTGCTATATCAACTTTTTTGAGTTTTAAATGATGTCATAATATCATTCCCTCATCAAAAATCATATACCCAGACTGTTGCTTGCATGTTTGAGAAATCCTTGAATCTCCCATGGTTGGAGTTGCCTAAACACTTGCTRGTACAAAGCACCGCCCATTCACACAAAGCTCCTCCCTTGATCTCAGCCTAGCATAATAACATTTAAAGATGAAAGAAAATGCATTACACGTCTGCATATTAGTGGCACATRTTCCCCTGGTTCAGGACCGTGGCGGGACTGTCAGCATGTCCTGGACTCAGGAGAGACCACCAGTGGGATCTACCTGCTCCGCCCCCTGAACACTAACCGCCTCCTGCAGGCCTGGTGCGAACAGGGTCGCGATGATGGAGGGTGGACCATCATCCAGAGGAGACAGGATGGATCAGTTAACTTCTTCAGGACCTGGGAGCAGTACAAGGTGCATCTTTGACGTTCGGAAAACACAAAGAGGGTGATCATTGTTAGAACGTTAGACCTGGAGCCTGCAGCTGTAGAAGTAAATACGTGAGGATAAATTAAATCTWAATACAAATTGAATGATTTTTTACAATTTAATTAACTTGCGACTCTTCTAAAATTGAAACGATTACACATCAGGACTAAAGTAAAGCTCTTGTGTGCYACAGCAAGGCTTTGGGAACCTGAATGGAGAGTACTGGCTCGGCCTGGAACACCTCTACTGGCTCACYAAACAGGCCAAATATAAGCTGCGAGTGGCTCTGGAGGACTGGCAGGGCCGCCAYGTGTTTGCAGAGTACGACAGCTTCCACCTGGAACCAGAGAGCGACTGGTACCGCCTCCGTTTGGGACTTTACCRAGGCACTGCAGGGGACTCCCTGTCRTGGCACAACAACAAGGCCTTCACCACTCTGGATCGGGACAAGGACAGCTACACGGGTCTGCTCCTGCTCGAAAGCTTTATGATCTGTGCTTTTGTGTTCATAACAGTCCCTTGTCGTCTGTTGTGTTCTCAGGTAACTGCGCTCATTATCAGAAAGGAGGCTGGTGGTACCACATGTGTGCCCACTCCAATCTGAACGGTGTGTGGTACCGAGGTGGACACTATCGAAGCCGCTACCAGGATGGAGTCTACTGGGCTGAGTTCCATGGGGGGTCCTACTCGCTCAAAAAAGTTTCCATGATGATCAAACCCACATAGCTGCAAACTGTACATGAAAAAGCAAACCACAAACTCACGTGGACGACACAAAATAATGATGAAGCTATAAACTACGTCAAATGTCATTAGTGTCTCTACGTTATAAATAAAACGTGTACTGTCTATACTAAACCATGTTAAAACATGAAACCATTTGGTTAAATAAAACAGTTCATTAATGTAAAATGACCAAGTTTTTTTTTTGCAAACTATTTTCAATAAAGCAGCAACAGATTAACACCATTTGAAGTGGTGCAGATTTTGAAAGGATCCTATCACCCATGCTGTATCGAATTGAAGCATGGGTGGAGGGATGATCAGTTACGCCACAAAGGATTTCCTGTTTCCTGCATGGGCGTTCATTTTCCCCGAAAGCTGTTTTTTTTTTGTCTGCCTAAATCATTTTAACTGTCAGAATCCTCTGTAGAGCCAGCTGTGAGCCAAGATCCAACTTATCCAGTCAGAGAGCTGGACTTCCTCTGGTTCTTCCTGATTCCCATCTTTCCTCCTCCTGGATGCTGATCCAGCATGCTGCCTTTCAAGACGCTGACCCTTCTCCTGTTCTTACTGTCACTGTGTGGTGAGTGGAACTGATGCTTTATAAAAGCTTGATCGTATATATTGAAAAGTTAGTTTTAGTTAAGAGTTAGGGAAGCAGGTTATTAACAAATTGATGATGGCATTGCTTCATGGTTGCTTTTTGTTTCGATTTSTCCACGTGTGACGTGAGTTTTGAATTTCTAAAAAAACTGATGGTGAATGACGACTCAGAAAACTATTGTTTTGAGTTGTTTTATTTATGATAATCCTAAATAAAAACTGAACAGTAAAAACTGAGATGCGTTGGTTAAAATGTAGCAATCTGAAGTGGGAGGGGTGCGTGTGAAGAAGTGTAAATGAAAACTGGGTGTGGTTATTGACTTTCCAAAGTATAACTACAACTTCACTATAGTCTTTGTGAAGGATGGACCTGCTTCGGATGATGTCAGTCTATTAAATGACTGTTATTAGTGGTTCGCAGTCCCATACATTGTCTGCAAATGTCCCTCCTCTACCTCCTCATAGGTTTACATGAATGAATGATTACTACTTTGGACCGGTTGAAGGGGGAAACAACTAAAACATGCTGGATAGTGGTCCTAGAGGGCCAAGATAGAGAGACCCACTGTTCTAAACATCGTGTCTCACCAAGAACCCAAGAGCATTTTTCAGGGAGGTGATGAAGATAGAAAGCTGATTTTTAAATATGTCATCATGGGGGTCAGGAGGGACACGTTTAAGGTGGTCCCGTGTAATATGTCATCATGGGGGTCAGGAGGGACACGTTTAAGGTGGTCCCGTGTAATATGTCATCATGGGGGTCAGGAGGGACACG